GAATTTCGCTTAACGGGCTGGGGGTGATCCTTGAACAAATATTGCACGAAAATTGTGTTTTCTGGAGTAGCCAGTCTAGCCCATATAGGCTAGTTTCAACTGACATGTTGGTACATCCCGTAGAACTAACTCCCCGCATCGATACTTCGAACGATCCTGCTTTGTTGCTCGACAACAGGTTTTTGTTGCAAACTTTGGAAAACTTGATCGAAAATTACATATTCTTTGTTCGAGCCATCGATGATTGTCATGTTTATTGTTGTTGTCTACTTGCCGCATTGCAGTAATCGGCCATAATTGAGTAGTAATGGGCGCTACTACTGCCTTGCATTTCATACTTGATAAAAGTCATTACTCTCTTTTTTTGTTGTGATTTGAGTTTCATCGACCTACTTCGAGCAATTTTTGTTTGCCACTGATTTTACTACTTTTATTAGTATTTTGATATATTATAATTGATATTATTATTCCTTCTATCATTTTGACTCTTTTATTATCGCTATTATTAATAATAACATTATTATTGCATTGAACAAGCGGTGAGTACTAACTGGAGATATACAGGCGATAATCGCAAAGCCTGGCCTAGGCACTCGTTTTGGGAGCATTTAGTAATACCAATAACAGAAGATATTCACTTGGTACACCAATCGGTCGTGGTATTCTTGGTGTTATTGTTATTATTATTATTGTTATTATTATTATTATCGTTATTATTTTCATTGCCATTATCATTATTATTGTTATCGTTGTTATTATTATTTTATTACTTTTATTATTTTACTATTTTTAAGATCTCTGCATTAAAATTTGTCCTATCTTATTTGTCAGAATCCTTCAAGTTTAATCCTTCTTTTTCTCATGAAATTTTAAAATTGTTATTTTTGCGTGTTTAATCCCCCAATACAAAAACATTCTGTCTGCATTCTCATGCTCATTTGTTAGATATTTTCATTTTTAAGTTTAGTCTTTAGTTTTTTTCACGAAATTTTAAACTTGTCCTTGAACATATAATTCAAACACCCTCAGTACAGGGACGCTTGGCGTAGTGGTCAGTGGAGCCCACTGTTAAACTCAAAATGTTAACTCTTGTCTAGGACTTTGAAAAGCATACTTGATTTATTTCGAAGTTGTTTTGTTGCTAGTCTCTCTTGGCGCGCCAGAGACTCAAAGCTGTTTTTTTCAATTGCTTTCTGATTAACAC